ACAGTTTGTCACTGTCAATTATCCCGAAAAACGATGAATTGCTAAAGTTGACACTGGGAAAAGGGAAAAGGTAAATGCAAATCAAAGCCCTCCAAAAGGTTCTTACTCCATTTCACAGCTTTCTCTCAAAAGGGGTTTGCCTGATTGGAATATTCTCTGAGCTTCATGACGTTTGAGAAACTTAGCCATTCCTGAAAGTGATTTCAAGAAGAACGTTTGAGGAACTTATCCTTCTTCCGATGTATGGATTCGCTTATCGCTGTTGAGGTCAGCGCCATATTACGAAAAAGTTTGCCTGACCGGGATAAAGAAATCTTTTCAAGAACTTTGCCTGACCAGGATAAAGAAATTTTTTCAAGAACTTTGCCTGACCAGAATAGAAGCTTGGAGACCTCAGCTTTTGTCCAAGAAAGTTTTTTCACCACCTGAGGAACTTAATGAGAGATGGGAGTTGAATTTTCTTTTCGTATTTGTCACTCGCCTTTCAGTATCATAATTGTTTCCTGAAGGTTGAACATACACGATTGGAAGGGACACTTTTTCTAGACTTTCTTTCCTATATCACCAATAATATATTGAGACACGTGAGTGTGACCAATAGGAGCTTGTTTACATTCCCAAAAACTGATGTGTTTCATGTCAGCCAATCACCTTTGGTGAGGATTTGTGCTACCAAAAATTCAGGGTCAAACTGAGATAGGCAAAATTCTCCAGAAAACCATGAAAACGATAGCTCTAAGAGGCCCAACAGTGACTGGAAGGGAAAAATAAGTCCTTTTGTCATCAAAAACCTCTATATACCTCTCGCTTCAAAGATTAAAAAGGCCTTCAAGTATGACCTGTGGGTCAATAGCACAGTGGTAGTGCTCCCAGGTCACAATCACAAGGTCTTTAGTTCAATACCACTTAAGGACCAAAATCAAAAATTATCCTTCAGATCAGGTTTACCGGTTATCCTGTGAAAGTCGTACCCAATCATCTGGAACAAGCTTTAATCAGGTTAGGCTGCACGAAGATGGGACTTCTGGCCTTCTATCGATCAGGGGCTGAAATCTACGATTGTACTACCGGAAGGATTGCATGAAGAAAGGCTTCTGATCTAACCCACTATAAATGCCCCACAAGACCCCCTGCCCTGGCAGTCTCCAGAACCCCGCCCTTCTAGCTCAGGATATCCCAATATGGTGCTCTGCTTAAATGAAAATCAGTTAAATGGGACTGATTCGATGCTACAAGTGGTGACAAAGAAGGTAAAGTGCCCCCTTCCGAGGTCTGAGTGAATAATATCTGGAAGTATTAGAGGGTAAAATAAATCCCGTCGGGTACATACTATACAGACTAGTTTAGTGTATATAATTAAAAATTTATAAAAGTTCAATACTAAACTTAGCCTGTTTCACCGTCGATGACTGTGTATTAACCATCCGGCCTCTAGCTGGATCTGCCCCACTCACAGAGTGGTTAGTGGGTCCACCTAGAGAAAACAGCAATAGGTTATCATTAATCTGCATGTATATAAAAAATATATAGTTTGTATAAGATGATTGATGTGATGCTCAGGATTTTATTATCTAAGATGTTAAGTTAATTCTTAATAAAAGCACTCGCATCTAATACCAGTTGCGGTTTAAAAAAATAAAAAAAAATATTTTTTTAAAAAAAATTTTTATTGATATATTTTAAAGTTTTATTATTGATAAATATTTTTGTTTTTTTAGTAATTACTATATAATTTATAATATCAGTTAATCAAAATTCTTTAAAAATAAAAATTTAATAAAGAAAGAAAATTTTAATAATAATAAAACTTTAAAAATTATATATAAAAATTTTTTTAAAAAAATATAATAAATAAAACTAGTATTAAAATATAATATATATGAATTTCATAATTTTTGATTATAAATAAAAAATTTTTAATACAACTTTTTTTACTGATTATCTGTCCATACATAAAAAAGATGTTTGCAAAAAAATTTTATTTCTTTGCTAATAAAGTCTTAATACTATTTCTAAATTAACTCGAAATATCACTTCAAGAGATATTCCTAAAACTCTTTTCTTGTTTATATTTATCTTCAAACAAAAACTTGATTTTCTGTAATCTAAAAAGTCAAGAAATATCTTTCTACCTAAGGCAAAAAAGTTTTATAAGAAAGAAGAACTAATAGTATAGTACTTGAAGCATTTTATATTGAAATATGTTTATAAAGATTTCTAGTGGTAGAAGATGATAAATATCAAGCCATATTTTTAAGGTGTCTGCCTACTGTATTTTTCTTCTTATAGTCACTTAAAATTTTTGATTTTTTGAAAAATTTTGTTTATCTCAGTTTGATCCTAAATTTTAAGTAATACAATCCATTGCAAAATATGATTGATGGTTATCTTATGTATTCCAATGATGTTATTGGTGATAAGAAGAGTTGATTGGTGTTCCATTTTTATCTTGCTTTTTCAATTGGATTAATTTATAGATCAAGTTTAATAAGGTTAATAAGATATGAGCAACAAGTCCTCAAGTGATGAAAAGTTATTATTTGTTCAAGCTGAGATTTTTTCTTTTTATCATTTTGGTTAGGCAAAGTTCAAAATCAAGGACTTTTTTTTATCCTATTAAGCAATAAGACTAAATAGTCTCTAGTTTATGCTAAGCTTCAATTTTTTAGTTATAATTAAAAATATATTTCTTCAAAAGTTGTAAAAGAATATTGTAATTAATGAGAATTCTTATCATTCTTGAAACTCTCTTACTATTATAAGGTAAAAAGATTGTTAGTGAATCTGACTTTTTAAATAATGGAAGATATTCATCAGTAAAATTTCTTTAACTAGGCATGACTGTTGAAAGATATTATACTGAAATAATATAACTCAGTCTTTACTGGATCATATAAGAAATTAGGATTCATCATAAGTCACTCCTTTATCATATATAGATAAAAATTACTGTTCGAATAAGGTTAGGATCAAGTGTGTTCTGAAAGTAAAGGTTCACACTAGATGATAAGTCTCCTTAGATAATATACAAAAAGGAAATCAAAATCAAGAATAGATAAGTTCTACAGATGGTCAGGAGAAGAAAAGATATTTCAATTAGATATTTCTTATTAAGAAAAAGTCTTGAGAAGTAGGTTTTTGGAGAATGCTAGAGAATTTTATTTTCTTTTTTCATTTTCTTGTAATTTACTTGAACATTTTTAGATATATCCTTTTTCTTTTTTTCAATCTATCCTTTTATAGTTTCTTGTATTTTAATGGCTTAATAGAATTTTAAACAATAAAAATCTGCTGATAATGAAATAGTATATTAAGAAGGTCTTTATTCAAAGTTCACTATAAAGTAAAATATTGTTCCCAAGATCAAACTTAGAGACTATTATTGTCTATGATGAGTTAATTAAATTTAATATTAATATTTAGCTATAGTATGTATCATGCTATTTGAATAAAAATATACTTATGTTTTTAATTGATTAATAAACTATGATTTAACCTAGCTATGGGTACTCAAAAAAAAATGATAATAATTTTTAATTATATAATTAAGGATTTAAAAATTGCCAAAATTAAAATTTATAATAAAAACATAGTAAGTGAACTCAAACTTTTGAAAGAAACTGTATATATAAAGACAAATTAATCATTTTGTAAAAGTTTGTATCCTATTGTATGTAGATTTGTTTTAATTTTTCTATAAAAACATATCATTATAACATAATTGCAAATTAATAAAAAAAAAAAAAATAGATTAATAATTTATTTATACTATTAATTTGCCAAATTATTTATTTTTTCAATAAATATTGTACAAGTAGTATTATGTTAAATAAATATTTCTTAATTGATATAACAATTTATTAAAAAAAATAATAATATATTATTAAACATAATAAATAAAAAAAATTAAAAGAACAAAAGTAAATTACTAGATATATTAAATTTCTTTATTCAGATAATAAATAATATAATATTTACAGTATATTAAAACAAATCAATTATATAGTATATAAAAAACAAAAAATTTTTTTTGATAAAATATTTATCAAAATATCTGACCTATATAAAATAATTAAATTTTCAAAACTTGAAAAAATGATCTGCAATAGTTGACCTGCAGGTGGTTAGTAGTTGAAAGAAAGAGTATTTACTAATAAAACAAAAAATTACTTTCAAGTTGCATTTAAAATTTTTTTAAACTAAAAAGAATTAGATTAGTGATACACAAATTTATGTATAGTTTACAAATGTTTAATAAGGCACATATAACTGTTTTGCATAAAACCTTGTTAAGTTAAACCATTGCAATATTTCTCATAATTAACATAAATTCGAATTTCAGCACAATGGATGACAAAAAAAAAAACAAAACAAAAATATACCATAAATGAAATAATAATAATGGTTGCATCGCGCAAATCTCTTTGATCATTGATTTTACTTTTAAAAGTTTGATTGGTTACACCACCGAAGCTTAGCCACACCTCACCAACAATAACTTCAATGTCAACGCTAATATCTGTACAAATATATGCGAAATAAACACTAATATACAACGATGTAGATTGAGATTAATCTATATTATCAAATAATAATAAGCAATAATGCAGATTCTAAGATAAATATAATGAAAAGTAAAATGCAGTTAAGATGTTAAAGTACGGGAATTAAGTGTGGTATAACCTCTTCAAATGTCATTTGATATATTCATTAGTCATTATTTTCTTCGAATATATTTTCCTAATTATGAATTGAAGAGTAGACAAAAGATTATTTAAATTGTTTCTCGATTATGTGAAATAAGGTTCTTTACCTTCGATGCATTCATATCTTCTTCTTCCTCCAATTCATCCTCATTCTCATCCTATGGGCACAATTAGAGCGTGTGATGAAGAAATAAATTAAAATTCTTTTGCTAGTTTAATGGATGAGTAAATTCTTACCTCGAATTCTTCCTGCAGAGTAAAACAAGTGTAGTGTTAATAATTAACAAAATGGATCTATCTATCGCTTATGCAATTTGATAGGTTTAGTTTACTTGCCTGTGAGTCTACTGTTGATAAAGGGTTTGACGAAGTATCCGAGAAATTCATTTTATGGCTGCATCTATCTATCTCCTCTTGAGCTAAAATGTGTCCATTTTTCAGTGCTTTGTTATACCAATTCATCGCCATTTCAAAATTCCTTCTCACGCTTACACCTCTTTCATAGCACCAACCCAAATGATACATTGCTGACACATTTCCTTTCTTTGAGGCATTCTTATAATGACGCACAGTCTTTCTTTTGTCCCTGCTGATTCCAAAGCCGGACTTGTAACATTCGCCTATGTTATACTCTGCGTTAACACTGCCGCCTTCGAATGCTTTCGTATACCACATGAAGCAAAGCTCCTCATTTTTCGTTGTGCCATAACCAAAATTGTAACAATCAGCTAATAGATCTTGAGCCATTGAATAGTCCATCTTTGCAGCGGTAAGAAAAGAATGAAAACTTTTCTTCAAATCTTCTTCGGTCCCAATCGCCTCTAAATAAAAATAGCCCAGTAGAGTAATATATTGAACAGTGTTCTGATTATTCAATAACCAATCGTAAATATGAAATGGTTGTCGTTTATTCAAAATTATGGAATCATAAATGTATTTTGTTATGATTTCGTCAGGGTACCCTTTATCCCTCAGATCCACAAATCGCTCTATTATTTCATCCACTATTCGTCGAATTGCATCGCTCTCGTCACGACTTATGGACGGAATTGGACTTTGGCATCGTGAATGTGGTCGTGAGCTCGCAGCTCTGGATATTGATCTAGGCGTTGGACTTGGATTGCGTGAACGTGATCTAGTTGGTTGTGGACTTGGACATCGTGAACGTGAACTTGTTGGCTGTGGGCTTGAACTTCTTGAGTAAGCGGTGGTGACTATTTTCGGAATTTGGATTGTCGCCATTCTTTTGCATTTAGACGCTAACTTTGATAAGCGATTTCGAAATATGGAAAACGATTTCCATAGGCTAAAGAAACCTTGTATTTGGCGGAATAATATAGGCACGAATGCTAAGTGGTGAAAGGGTTATGTTCCAGTGTATGTTTGTATAGGAGCGTATTTGTGCGATATGGTGGAGAACCGGGGAGGGGAGACGGATAATTCTAGGCAACATTCTTTTTTGCCTCAAATCAGTGACCGTCACCGTGACGTATGCGTCATTCCCCTGAGCAACAGGTTTTAATAAAATTAAGCTATAGTTGAAATGTGTAATTTCCTAGAAAAGCAAACTATTCAACATGCTGATTTGACCAATTATATTTGTGTATCGCATATTATTTATTAACTTTTTATATACTACTATACGTACGCGCGATATTACGTGCGTTAAAGATCGGGATTGGGTTTTAGGTTTGAAAATTACGAAATTACGTAAATGATATAAATGTTAGCCGGCTAATCAAATTGAACCACTAAATCTTAATGCATGAACAAACTTTGCATTACGTCATTTGACAGATTAAATAGTGATTTGATCACCCCAATAATACAGGCGGTGAATTTTTTACTATCGATTTCTTACGCTACATCTAACTTTGCACCGTCGTAAAAGAACACCGATCGAAATTAATTGATCACAATATGTTTATTAGTTGAGTGCCTTACAATCAGCAAGATTTTATGAGTTAAAAAAAAAAAAAAATGTAATAGGTGTATGGGTATATGTATGGATAATTATTTTGAAAGCGACAAAATTATCGTATACGAATCTTTGATTCCTATTTTTTTTTTTTACATGATACATACAATTGCAGAATCAAATCATCCCTGTTCACTTTCGAAAATAATTGCCCATATACTGTATATATAAAATATTAAATGTACGTGAAGATATATATACATATATATATATATATATATTGGAGTCTCAATGTGTGATTTTTTGTGTAAATGAGTTTATTTAAAAGTTTTGGTATGTATTTATCTGTAATTAATTGGAGGCGAGGAAATTTTTAGTTTTCAGAAAAGAGAAATCGCATTTCCAAGAGAATATAAAAAACCATCGGATCCTACCTCTATTCAGATTCATTTGACCCATTCGATTCGGAATTGCCATTTCTCAACAATTCTTCTAGGGGCTCACGTGCGTCAGTATTCCCATATTCTATGGCTTTCTTGTACCAGTTTATCGCCTGCTCCCGATCTTTCTCTGCACCCAGTCCTAGATCGTAACACTGTGCCAACAAAAACATTGCCGATCGATTCTCTTTCTTCGAAGCGTTCTTATAATGTTGGAATGCCTTGGTCAAATTCCTTTTCACCCCAATACCCATGTCGTAACAATATCCCAAGCCAAATTCCCCGTCGGTACTACCGTTATGGTTTGCCTTTTGATACCATTCAAAGCTTAACTCTGGCATCTTTGGTGTGCCATGACCAAAGCAATAGCAATCGGCCACCAGATCTTGTGCGACATAATATTCCATCTTTGCGGCCGTCAGGAATAAATGAAATCCCTTGCGTTTGTCGGCATGTGAAGTACCAATTCCTTGGAAATGGAAGAATCCCAATAGTGTTATGTATTGTGGTGTATTCTGATTATTTTGAAGCCAGAAGAAGAGTTGATTCGGTTCGTAAATTTGGGTGCTAATGGTTTGTCGAATGCAATCAGCCACCGAGGAAAAATTGTAGCCCTTCTCTCGTGCGCTCACAAAAGTCAATACAACCTCATCGACGTAGCCTCGTAGAGCGTCATTTTCGTCCCGGTTAATCAGGAGCTGAGGGCTAACACTACGCACCGAACTTGCGTTAGATCGTGGTCTCCTTAATTTTGGTGATTTAGGTGAAATACTGAGCATAGGGGATATGCTAGCCATTAATAAAATCGAAGAGCAACAACAATATCAAGAGGTAAAATTTTTTTTTTTTTTTTTTTTGGATACGTTTTTTAAAAACAGTTGTCCGAGTTGAGAGAAATATTAAAGAGAAGAACTGTCAATTTGGAAGAGAAACTTAGATGATGTAAAGGGAAAGGGGTTTTCATTACTGTCCGATAAGTGGTGAGGCCGATTTTAAGTAATTGTAACCATTGATTGCATAAATGGTTTATTGTTGGAAGTGAAATGTGTAACAAGAAGTCGATGACTTCACTTTGTAGCATTTTCGAAAATTCTTTGGTCTTCTTCGAAGTCTAGCCAAATCCGGCAGATATATATATATATACACCAATAGAATTCGGTGCACACCATCCATGACTCCATCATAAAATAAAAAATTCTTTTTTAAAGAACATTATATGAAAGAGAATGAGATTAGGTTGCGGTTCAAATGTGCTGCCATTGTAGAAAATCACCCGATTCGCGTCTAAAATGGTTAGAAGGGTGACAAAATATTATGAAAATGAAACTTTCAATGTTATAAATATATGGTGTTCACGTGCTCATTTCGGGATGTTAGTTACGCCGCCAATTGGCTCGCGCCACATATTTCAAACAAAACTTTTGGTACGCGCACTTGCTTCACACAATTATACATTCCTCGACCTCTTCCAAGTCGTCGTTAACCCAAGTGCATTGAAACAATGTTTATATATAATGAAATTTGATTGTTTACAAAAGAAGTCACATTTGTATGCACTCAATAAACGCAATAAAAAGTCTACACAAGTGATTAATTTATACATTATATAATGGTAATGGTAATGATAGAAAAGTTGGCTGTTGATCTACCTACCCATTTGAAATTTATGCATATATGCAATCAAATCACCGGTGATCCTGTGGAAGCTTTGCGTAACACTTACAGAAAATAAATAGATTTTCTCGTCTCCACCCCCAAAAATGAATTTTATGGTCACACTCTTTCATTATTTTTTTTATTGAAACTGTCGTCATATTTGACATTCCTTTCACGTTTCTTTTCCCCCTGTCAACAAGATTTTTTTCAACCAGTAATGCACACAAACTCCGATCGGGAACTTATGCGTGCCGATATCACAGGAAGAGTCGGTTGTCCACACATAGATCGATATGTTGGGCAGGATTCACCGACCGTGAAGATTGACTCATCAGCTTTCAAGGTTTGATGTGCCATCTGTATTACGAAAAACCATCTTTCTCAATCTTATTTATTAATATTACGAATCAATGATTTTTATATTTTAGAAACAGGTCACCAATTCTACCTTGCATTGTGATTCGTGTGATATAAGGATACCAAGGCTGTGGGTGTGTTTGCATGTAGGTTTTTTTTTTATTCATTCTTATTACAAGTTATCTAAAATTTGAGATACGTGTCGATTAGTTTAACCGATCACTTCTCACCTTGTAACAGAGTCGGTGTCGCGCGGTTGTCTGCAGTAGTAGCTCATCGAGTCACATGCGTACCCATTTCGAAGAAAAACATAAAGTAGGTGAATGGCGGGAGTCGACCATTTTTTAAAATTACGCCGTTAATTTTCCGAACAAAATTCGCATATTAGGAAGACAAAAAGAATTCTTGCCACTCGATATACGCCAACCCACGTACATTAACCATCTGGTGTTATGGTTGCGCGACTGAATTAAATCCTTTCGATAAAAATGCGGCTTTGACATTCGAGGCACGAAATTATCTGAAGACTATTGTGAGATGTCTGGTGATTATCTGATTGGGATTTTCGATATTTTTGATTTCGATGGTTTCTGGGGGGGGGATTTTTTTTTCATTGAGTCATGTTTCAAGAAATTCTAACTGAAGAATACTCCTAACCTCTATTGTCAGTAGCAGGGCAAACGAAGTAGATCACAACAGTCGAACGATGTTCCCGGTATGACAGTTGCTATCGAAAGAACTAGTTCAATGATCTTATTTCGATGATTAATCCTTACATATTGGTTAAGCCAATGAATGACCTTCTTCTAAAATTAGGTCTGGTCGGTTTAAAGAATTTGGGAAATACTTGTTATGCAAGGTTGGTGCCATTTTTAGATGCTGGTTCGTTGAATTTTTGTCGATTCTAACGAGTCCACCATTGATATTGTAGTGCAGCCCTCCAGTGTCTGTCCAACACGTAAGCATTGTTCACTCCAAGGTTATCTTAATTGTTCGGTTATTGGATGTCATTTATTAATTTAAGTTTGCAAATTTTAGTCCGGCGTTAACGGATTTTTTTAATTACTGTGATAAATACATTCCTCAAAATGTCAATACCAATAAGCGTTCCAAATACAGGTTGGCCGAGAAATTTCATGAATTTATTAAAGCCATGTGGAGTGGTAACAGGTTGGTGTCATTTGATTGTGCATTTGTCGCATCGGAAATTAATAGGCAGAATATTAATTCTATCACTAAAAAATCTCGAAGCCCTATTTATGCTCCAGTTCAGCTGATCGGTGAGATAAAGAAATACAACGAGGTCTTTCGAGATCATTCACAACAAGTATTTACTTTATATTAGAATTTTATTTGTGGGATTTTCTCTGGACAATCTAATTCATAAGTTCACATGTTGCAAGGATTCCGTGGAATTTCTTCGCGTTGTTTTGGATAAACTTCACGAGGAGCTTCCATATCCACCATCCGCTCTGGCGGACAATAATACCATGCGAGCAAATAATATAGCTAACGATAATTTTACGAACGATGATGCTTCAAGCTTTAGTTATGATCCAAATGTGGATGATCATTATAACGGATGCGGAACGTCCTCCTTCTCATCGAACACCACTCGAGCTCCCCACAGAAACAAGAGGAGGTATCCCTTGCCGACCAGTGTGATCAGTAACATTTTTCAAGGATACCTGGAGAGTCGAATAAAATGCTTGCGTTGTAACCAGGTTTGATATTCAAAAAGGAATCATTTAAAAAAAAATAAAAAATAAAAAATAAAAATTGATCTATCGGCATTGTTCATATTATTCTTTTTCGAAATTTAGGAGTTTTTGAAAGAGGATCATTTTTATGATCTTCCCATTCAAATCGATAAGAAATTCCGATTAAAGTCATCGGAAAATGATTCTGGTGATTCGATCGTCAATTCCATGAAGGGACTCATGGGAGGGCTGTTGGGGTGAGACTTAAATGTTTCGATCCTTTCTAAGAGATCATAATTTAGTGACACTTTACCGATTAACAACAATTCTATGCGGAAAAGAATTAGTGGCAGGACGTTGAGATTGCAGGACTGTCTGGCTGCATTTTGTGCCACCGAGAAGCTCGAGGGAAAAAATAGATACAAATGCGATATATGTAAGAAGCTGACCGTTTGCCAAAAAACACTGAGAATAACTCGATTACCCGAGGTTATTTTTCCACCATCATCCTCTGCAAAATGAGACTGCGAAGATTGTGATGTTAACCAGGAATCATACTCTTATTTTTAGACATTGTGCATTCAGCTCAAGAGATTCCGTTATAGTTCTCATACCTCGAAGATTGGTACACACGTACAATTTCCAATGGAGGATTTGGAAATGGGTCCTTACTGCAAGGACTCGTCGTTGAAAAGCACGAAAGATGAAAGAGACGTCACAGAAAGTACAAAATATAATTTGTATGGCTTCATACATCATCGCGGTGGTTCAGGAAGTTGGTTTATTACCATTATTATTATTATTATTATTACAAGTAGCTATTGTTGTTATATGGATTTTTGCTCTTTCAATCTTATAAGGTGGACATTACATTGCCTATGCTCAAAATCCAATCGATGGAAATTGGTACGAATATGATGATACGGTAGGTGCCGTCTCTGCATGTTCTTCTCATCAACATGAGTTATGTCTCCGTTGAGTAAAATTAAAAAGCTCATTCTTATTACAGTATGTCACTAAGAAATCGGTAGCCGAAATATCCCGTTTGGAAGCATACGTATTATTTTACCGCAGGACAAGCCCCGAAAAAGATGTTGAGAGAAAAGAAATTAAGGATAGGATAAAGAGAGAGGTAAGCGATTTACAATAGTTTATTTTCATTCTTTAATTTTCAAAATTTACTTTAATTTTTTTTTTTTCAGTCGTCCGCAGAGCATTATTGGATTTCTCGCTTATGGTTTAATAGGTGGCGATTTATGACAACGGTAATATTTTTCTTCAATTTTTTAGATATTGATAATATGTTCCTATGGTTGTTAAATACGATCAAATGTTATCTACCAGCCCGGTCCTATAAGCAACTATGATTTTATTTGTCCTCATGAGAGTAAGTATTTTGGTAGAATTTTATTTGATGAGTGACTTTTTGTACTCGTTTCTTTTTTAAAGAGTTTGATTATTTTCATTTTTAATGCAATTCAGGTGTAAGTTTTAAAAATTATGCCATACTTCGTGATCTGGTGGTCGAAGTTCCACTCGGCGTGTATACCACTTTAGCAACAAGATACGGCACAGACGGGAGTCCACCCTTTCCCGTGTCCAATTATGCATCTTCGGATTGTATGATATGCCAGGTGATCACACTTTGCTTCGTCTTTACTTTTGTTTTTATTGATGTTAACCAAGTATTTGGTTTTTTAAACCATCCATTATAATTTCAGCAAGAAGAAATATTGCTAGCAAATCGAAGACGCAAGGAGATACGTGATATCAGAAATTTGGATTCCAATACGATAGGTCGTGGCGAATCTTGGTATTTGATAAGCGCAATTTGGTTGAGGAAGTGGCACAATTTCATAGATGGAGGTAAACTTTTATTAGCCTTATCACACCTTTCCTTCCGTTATTATTTCAAGTATCAATAAGTTTAATCATTGATAGGGCCTCTACCTGGGCCGATCGATAATACCAATTTTCTCAAGGAAAATGGAAGACCCGAATCTGGCATGTGTAAAGGTTTGTGTATTCATTTGATTACGACGAGTAGTACTGTTCGTATGTTAACATCATGATGATTGGTATCCAGGGGTCGATTATAGAGGTGTCAATACGAGAGTTTGGAGTTACTTTGAACATATCTACGGAGGCGGACCAACAGTTGTCAGAGGTATTTACCAAGTCTTTTAAATTTTTTTTAAAAGAAATTGCCTTGATTCTATTAAAATTGTTAATATTTTTTATTTCGCTTTCTAGCTTCCATTGACCTATATTCTCTGCCACTCTCCCTGACTCAAAATTGAATTTTCATGAAAACGAGTGGTTTCTTTTTGGAATGTATAATAGTTTATTTTTATTTCCTTGTATTATACTAAATTTTATTAAATATATGATAGGATGTAGAAAATAAGTTTTCTGGTATCACATCTGTTACTTATTATTATTTAACTAAGATCAAGGAAAAGCATAAATGATTGATAAAATAAATGCGTATATGAGATTGAGCATTTGACGATCTATAAGTTGCTTTTGGTCAATAAGGAATATCTGACAGATAATATAAACATAATCTTTATTTAGTTCCCCTGGAAGGTCAATGTCAGCCATATAACTAATTTTTTACTATGCTAAAAAGCCTTAATTTTTATTTGCACGGTTTCTCTCGAAAGTCTGACTCATTATTTATATCATTGATTTAATAATAAAAAAAAAATTAAATAAATAATATTTTGTCTATTTCTCAATCAACGATTTTGCTATTAGTAATTTATTATTATTAAAAATATTTTAAAAGAAATGTTTTTAAATATTACAAGAAAAAAAAATATCAACTTTTATATTATTATTATACTTATTATTTTTTTGCAATATCGTAACCAGGCCAAACCATGGTTTTTATCAATTGAATATATAAATTTAATAAACTTATTGTAAGTAATAAAAGCTTCTAAGTTTGATCTTGAGAGTAATATTTTTACTTTGTAATGAAATTTGGATTATTTGGATTCGAACACTCTTAATTTATATATTGTAATCAATAGATTGTTACTACTTGTATTACATGTCCTATCAAATTATTGGAATATAAAAACTATAAAGATAATAAATTGAAAAAAAAAAATATTTAAAAATATATAATTATATAAAAAAAAATTTTTTATTCGGCTTTTTTTAAAAATTCAAATTTTTAAGACCTTTTTCTTATAAGAAATGTTCTATTGAAATTCTTATTTTTTTTTTTGATTATCTAAAAAACTTACAGTTGCTTTCAAAAGTTTGAGTTCACTTACTATGTTTTTATTATAAATTTCAACTTTAACAATTTTTAAATCCTTAATTATACAATCAAAAATTGTAAAATCTATATATATATATTTTTAAATGGATTCATGTCTAATTTTTATTAATTTCCAAATTATATTTATACAATTGTACAAAATATATATATTAGGGTGCATATTTAAATATAAATAAAGAATTTAATAAGCTAAAGTTATTTCAAGGCTTATTGCTTTCTTTTAATAAAAGAAATTAGCATTCTATTGAACATGTTGATATTATTGAAAAAAAAAATAAAAAATAAATAAAAGAAGCAATTATGTACTATATTGAAAAAATAACTATGATGTTTCTTAGCAAATGCCCATCTTGTTTTCTGGATTCCCCTCTTAATAATAGTCTGGGAAAGCTTTTACTGAGTTTTTATAATTTATTGCTATTCACAATCATTTTCTTCTAAATTAAAATATATACCTGTATAATTTAAATTTTCTGCAATACT